CATACCCCAAGCTCTTTTATGGCTTCTTCCGTGATGTTACAATGTCAGAAGTGTTTGTTTTCTGTGCAAAGATGGCATAATCCTCTGCTTCTCCCTTAGTAAGAGAATTGTTTGGAACTTGTCTCTGATTCTGAACCAACACTTGTTAGATGTCTGATCTTCACTCTAAAAGGTTCTTAAATAGTTCAATGAAAACTTCCCTGTGGGCCTCAGATTTCTTCTATGTAAAATGAAGAGGTTGAAGTACATGATCTCTTAGATCTCTTCTAGATCTAGAAGTAATCTCTTTTTTTGTTCTGTTCTGTTTTGTTTTGTTTTGGTCTATGCAGTAGGGTTAAGTGACTTGCCCGGGGTCACACAGCTAGTAAGTGTTCTGTGTCTGAGACCGAATTTGAACTTAGGTCCTCCTGACTCCAGGGCAGGTGCTCTATCCAGTGTGCCACCTAACTGCCCCAGAAGTAATATCTTAATGTCAGTATATATATATAATCACAGATTTGGTAATATCACCTGTGACCTTTATTTTTCCTAACTGATGTAAGTGTAAAAAATATGGTGGGGAGGGCATAAGTAGAAACCATTTAATCCTTTATTTCTCAATTTGAAACAGGAGCGCACACACACACACACACACACACACACACACACACACACACACACACACACACACACACACACACGCACATCCCATAGAGAATAAAAACTCCCTAGGTAGACCTTGAAAGGTTTGTGTATTTGTATCAGGAACAGGAAGGTACAGAAAATGTGAGATCCATTCTATTCGTCAGTGGTCTAAGGAATGAGAATGTTCTCAGCTAGAAGCAACAGGTAGTGTTTATTGGAAAGGGAAGTAAGTAGAACAATCCCTTATGTATTACCAGAAGTTTGGACTGTACCAAAGTTATAGTCTTCACTCATTTGGTACTCTCTTTGAAACCGTCATCTCTGTTCCTTAACCCCTCCAAACCAAACAACCCCAAACCTTCCTTCTGTAGCTCCTTCCTCAGATCTAGTAACCACCACTAGGGCTTAGAGCTAGGGGAAATAACTATTGTAGATAGCTTTTGTGGGAGAAGGGGAGGCAGGAGGCAGGAAAGGGCTTTGTTAATCCTGTTAAACTAGTGTTAGAAGATGGGAAGGGAGGAGGACACATATCTGACTTCTTAAGTTACTATCCTGCATTTTCATATAGAAACATTTATACATGATGCTTTGGTTTCGAAGTACAGTGAGTAAAGGATTCCCTATTATAAGTTAAATGTTTTTTCTCCCTAGCTAGAAACCTCCTGTCATGGAGAACATTTTTTGGGAAAAAGTGGCAAGTCAGCTTATACCTGGACTTTTGAAACACATTTCATTCTAAATCTGTGATCCTTTAAAAAACTTTTTTGTTGTTGTTTTTTTGGCTAGGCCATGGGGTTAAGTGACTCGCCCAGGGTCACACAGCTAGTAAGTGTTCTGTGTCTGAGGTCAGATTTGAACTCAGCTTCTCCTGAATCTAGGGCCGGTGCTCTATCCATTGCTCCACCTAAGCTACCCCTTAAAAATTATTTTTGTTTTAATTAAATATAATGCAGATTTTAAAAATTGATTGATCTTGGTCAGAATGCAGTTTATATCCCTAATAATATGCTGTTGAACTTCTGGCATTTACTGTTTTAGCAAGTGTTAAAAAGTACTTAGTATGTGCCAGGCACTGTTCACAACTGTATGAGTAAAAAAAAAAATGTAAATATTAATATGAGGTGTGACTATAAGATGTTGACGTAGCTTTGGAAACAAACTTATTAGAACTTAAATAGATCAGAATGATTGTTGTCTCCTTCAAATAGTCACCTTGCATAACATATTCTAATGATGCTGCTATCTTTCAAACCTGTTTTTTTTTGTTTGTTTTTACTTCTCCCTCCCTTCTTTTTAGAATTTTCTTTACATATAGCAATTATCCAATGGAAACAAATCTTCATTTGAAGTCAGTTTTGTTGAATTAATGAAATAGGTAATCAAGTTAGATAATGGCATTTTTTGGTACTTCTGGTACCAAAATCTTGTAAATTAATTCTGCAGGCAATACTAAAAGCACTAGCTTCATTAGAGGCAATGAGTCAACAAGCATTGAGTACTTACTGTGTGCTCAGCCCCGGGGTGTCAATAAAAGCAAAAAGAAAGATAGTTCCTGCTCTCTGGGAGCTTCCAGACAATGCATAAAAGGGAACTGAAAATGGTGGAAAGGATAGGACAAAGCATGGTAAAAAGTACAGAAAGTCAGAAGCAGAGCTGGAAGAGGAATGAAGTATGACTGTCCTGGACCATTTCTTAGAATGAATGTTCTAGGAGGAACTCAGCAAAGGGAACCCCAGAGTCAGAGAGTTGTTCCAGTGTAAGGAAACCATAGGTGCTGAGGGAACTGAGGCAGCATGGGGCAGTGGATAGAAAAGTGGATAGAAGCCCTGGGTTCAAGTCCCATTTCTGACAAATAACTGTCTCTGTGACCTGGGCAAGTCTCTTAACCTCTCAGTTCTCTAAGTATTTCTAAGACTGTCAGTGGCATTTAAGGTGAATTGGTAGAAGGAATTTCTTCATGGGCATTCTCTATACCAGTCAAGTCATAAGTCAGGTGCTTGTCCTTACCATTAGAATATGTATGTGGCCTACCAGGGTGTGTCCTACAAATGCCTGTCTGTAGTTGACAGAACATGCTCAGAGACTCAGAGAGTCCCGAGGCACATTTGTTAAAAGCTGGAAACCTTAGTGGATTCTGTGTTTTGGATGGAAACATTCCAGAATTGCCAGTCTTTATAGGCTATAGCTAGTCTCTGTTGCTTCCCTTCCTATTCCCTTCTGTTTCTTATCTGTTCATTTGTTTCCTGCTTTTTAGTACAGGCCTACACAGAAGGTGCTTCATAAACATCTTCAGATGACTCTTCAGATGTTTATAAAGCACCTTCTGTGTACACAGCATTAGAGTAGTCATTCTTTTAAATAGAGAACTTGTTAAAGCTTCTTCCATTCTTTTCTTTTGGTTGAACTGAGGAGTTTTCACCTCCCAGGTAGCAGGTGACAGTAGGTGGCAGTGCAGACTATAACCTTTCTTTTCTTCTTCCAGACTCAATTCTTTTTTTTTTTTAAAACCATTTTTCCTGGTTCAAGGCTAGATCCCCTCAATGAAAGTCTTTACTCTAACAACTTGAGTTGAATAACCTGTACATTTACCAAGTCTTCATCTCAGCAGATGACTAGACTGTAACCAGGTGGTGGGCATTTGCTCTGTAATCACAAAATAGTTGTAGCATTCTGGAGTCCTCAGTTTCTAATTCTAAAGTTCCCTTGTTGGTCTTATTAGAAATAAGGAACTGAATCAGTTATTGCACTGTCTCTATGGACTTTCATAGTTTCTTCAAATGCAGGTCTCAGATTTGTCTTTGCCCCTTCCAGTTAGCAAAACTGCCAGTCTGAAAGGGGCACACTCTTATATATTATACTGAAATTTTATAAGTTACTAGTATCCTCTTTGTAGTTTTGGTCATCCCTCAAGTCCCCTCATTTATCAAGTATTATTGGTTCTTTCTTCAAAATGTCTCTTCTCTCTGCCATTTCTCCCCTTTTATCTCTTCTGCCATCCTAGTGTTTTCTTATCTTTCTTACATGGATTACAACAGTTTACCAGCAGACTTTGCTGATTTCTGTCTCTTCTTCTTTCTAGGACCATTCGCTTCTTGGTTAATTTTTCTAAAACCCTACTTTAGTCATATCACTCCTGGTCAAAGACCTACAGTGTTGAGTAGCTTTCATGTTATGAACCTAACCTATCTATCCATTTTTTTCCTTTTACTTCCCAACCCTCTGCTCTAATCAGTAGTCTCCTCACTGTCTTTCAAACCTATACTTATTTTATCTTTGTGTATTTTTATTTGTTCATGCATCCTGAAATACATCACTTTTTCTTTACATTTTATTGAATCCTTTCCATCCTTGAGGATATACCAAAAGTCTCACTTAGTCTATAAAATTTAAAATTTTAATTCATACTTGTTTGTCCCTTTTCTGAACTCCTAATATACTGAATAATGTAGCCTTGTTCTTGTTGTGCAGTCATTTCAGTTGTGTCCAACTCTTCATGACCCCATTTGGAGTTTTCTAGGCAAATATACAGGAGCGGTTTGCCATTTCCTTCTCCAGCTCATTCTATAGATGAGGAACTGAGGCAAACAGGGTTAAGTGACTTGTCTAGGGTCCCACAGCTAGTGTCTGATACCAGTTTTGCCCTTAGGAAGATGAATCTACCTGAATTCAGGTCTGGCATTCTATCCATGGTGCCGCTTAGCTGCTCTGTATAATGTAATAGTTATTAACTGATTATTTCATATAGTTTAATCTTGTCTTCCTTGTAAGTTCTTTGAATTCAGTTAAATTGATCAAATCTATCAATTCATCATATGCAAAACCCTATGTTAGACATTAGGGGAGATATCCTTTACAATGTTAAGTATATAGTGTATGTACAGGAAATTCTTGGTAGCCAAGTATTATAATTGTAAAGTTAAGAAGAATGGGTAAAGAATGAATTCTTCAAATGTGAGAAGACATGGATGGATGCATTTGCCTGGAAGGATGTGATGCATTAAATCTTTGAGGGGTTCCTTTCAGCACTATGATTTTTTTATGTTGAAAATATAAATTCAAATTTTAGGCTTTTGTAACTTAAAAGCAGAAGTATTTACAACAGTAAGAACTATATAGCATTTAACATTTAGGGGAAATTACGTTTCTTTAATCTTCTTAATGATGCATATTTGGAGCTAAAATGACATGCTCAAAATAGAATTAAAGCTCTGATAGTTTTTAAGTTAATGATTGCCATGTGATTGGCAACTAAGTGATCATTGGTAACTTTGGAGAGAGCATTTTGTTTAAAGTATTGCTATTGATATGTAGTAATGTTTGCTTCTTGTGTCAAAAATATCCTTTTAAAAAGAAAATCTCCCCATTTTTTCCCACAGGACTTCCTGATCCATTTGCTAAAGTGGTGGTTGATGGATCTGGACAATGCCATTCTACAGATACTGTGAAGAATACACTTGATCCAAAATGGAATCAGCATTATGACCTGTAGGTTTAAAAGATTTGGAATAATGCATGTAATTCAGATTTGGTGATACAACATCTGAAAAAGCATATATCTTGAGGAAGAATTGTGGCCTGGGTGTAGTATTTGGTCTTCTGTTAGCTTGCTTTTTTTTTTTTTTTTAAAAGCTCATCTATTATCATAACAAGCATTATTCTTTTGTTATGTGTTTTCTTAATCAGTAGTTACTAAAGAGTACAACTACCCGGAAGCTTATTCATGACCTTTTTTGACTTAAAAGGGGTCATTTTACTCAAAGATTGGGAACTACTTTTCTGTATGGTTATTTCTTGTTGTTGAGTTGTTTCAGTCATGTCCACCTCTTTGTAATCCCATTTAGGATTTTCTTGGCAAGATCCTGGAGTGGTTTGCCATTTCGTTCTCTAGCCTATTTTACAGATGGAGGACCTGAGGCAAAAGTGACTTGCCCAAGGTCACGTAACTGGTGTCTGAGGCCAGATTTGAATTCAAGGTGGTTATTTCTAGAGGTGGGAAAAGGCAGAATTAAAATCAGATTACAGCAAAGCAGAACCTTAGCTTTAAGCTTTCAGTTAATTTGTTTAATTTTAGGTCATTTTCTAGGAGAATAAAGTCTGAAATCATTTAATCAACAAACATTAAGTACCTACTATGTGCCAGGCATTGGGCTAAGTGCTATGGATATAGAGATAAGTGAATGTATGTATATATGTACAAGATCTGTATAAAGCAGATTCAAAATAACTTTGTGTGGCAAGGTACAAAGAGTTGGGCAGGTGGGGAGGAGGGTCAGCTGCTCCAGCAGGCTAAGTCTTAAAGGAAGTTAGGTACTCTAAGGGGTAGAAATAAAAAGGTAGTGAATCCTAGGCATACGGAATTGTCAAGGCTCCAGATCATAGAGATGGGGCATGTCATGTGTGAGGAATAACAAGTAAGCCAGTGTAGTTAGATTTTAAGAGTACATAGAGGGAATTAGTATATGAGAAAGCTGAGGATTAGGAAGAAGTCAGATTGTAGAAAGCTTTAAATGCAAAACAGGAATTTATATTTGATCCCAGAGATAATAGGGAGCCATTGGAACTTATTGAGTAATGGAGTGAGATGTAGAGAACTGTGCTGTAGGAAAATCAGTTTGTTGGCATTATGGAGGTTGGATCACAGTAGGAGGAAAGACTTGAGGGTAGGACAGCTACTTAAGAGGCTATTGCAGTAGTCCACTTGAGAGGTGATGAGGACCTGAACTAAGGTGGTAGCTGTGTGAGTGGAGAGAAGGGAATTGGTGCAAGATTTGGCAACTGAATGTATATATGAGGAAAGTGAGAGTGAGGAGTCAGGGATGACCCTAAAGTTGTGAACTTGGGTGAGTGTAAGGATAGTGGTGTTCTCTAGAGTAATATGGAAATCTGGAAGAGGGGTAGAATTTCAGGAAAGGATAGTGATCTGTTTTGTTGAGTTTGAGATACTTAAGGTACATTTAGGTTGAAGTGTCCACAGGGCAGTTGCTGATATGGACCTGGAACTCAGGAGAGAGACTGGGGCTAGATACATAGATCTGAAAGTCATCTGAATAGAGATGATAAATAAACCTGTGGGAGCTGATGAGGTTACCAAGTGATGGTTAGAGAGAAAATAGAAGGCCAAAGACAGAGCCTTGGAGGTTCACCCACAATTAGTGGTTATGGCACTGATAATGTTGTAGCAAAAGAGACTGAGAAGATTTAGTTTGATAGATAGGAGGAGAATCAGGAGAGAGAACAGTGTCGTGAAAATCCAGAGAGGAGAAAATATCCAGGAAGATAGGTTGGTCAGTAGTGTCAAATGCAGAAGGCATTGAAAAGCTGAAGACTGAGAAAAGTCCATTAGCTTTGTGAATTATGAGATCATTGTAATGTTAGAGAGTGGTTTCATTTTAGTAATGAGATTGAAAGCTAGAATGCAGGAAGTTTAGAGGAGAGTTAGAGAAGTGGTATCAAGTATAGAAGGCTTATTCAGGGTGTTTAGGAGAATTTATATAGAAGATGTACAGAATGTTTGAAAGGAGGGATGGTAGGATCTATTGAGGTTTCTTAAGGAGAGATGAGACTGATGTATATTTGTAGGCATCAGGAAAAGAACCAATTGATAGGGAAAGGTGGAGGTTTAAAGCATGGGTGTGAGAGTGAGGGGATGACAGTGGTACAGTCTTCTGGAGAAGGCAGGAGGGAATGGGATCATGGGTGTACATAGGGGTTTGGCTTTGAGGAGAGAGGCTATCTTTTCAGCAGAGAGTGGAGTAAAGAAAGAAAAAATAGTGGAGGAAGAGCTCAAGAAGTTAATGAGATAGGAGAGAGAGAAAGGAGAACCTAAGGTGAATGGCCTTGATTTTCTTGGTAAAATTTGAGATAAAGTCCTCCCATGGATAGAAGGGGATGTATGGGAGACTTTTAAGAAGTAAGAGGTTTAGAATAGCCTTTGATGATTGGGATAGAGAATTGATGAGGAAGGAGTAAAATTCTTCATGAGTTCACATCAAGCCTCAGCTACTTACTAGTTGTGTAACCCTGGTCAAATCACTTAACCCTATCTGCCTCAGTTTCCTCATCTATAAAATGTTCTAGAGAAGGAAATGGCAAACTACTCCAGTATTTTTGACAAGAAAATGGGGTTATGAAGAGTTGGGCATGACTGAAATCACTGAACAACAACACAGGCAGCTAGGTGGTACAGTGGATAGAGCACAGGGCCTGGACTCAGGAAGACCTGAGTTCAAATGTGGCCTTAAACACTTGTCACTTAACCCTATTTACCTCAGTTTCCTCATCTGTAAAATGAGCTGAAGAAGAAAATGGCAGACCTCTTCAGTATCTTTGCCAAGAAAACCCCAAATGGGGTCATGACAAGTTGGGTGTGTCTGAAACTACTGAACAACAACTACAAAAACAACAAAAGACACTTATTGCTGCTGTGATTGGATCCAGCCTTTACAGTTTCAAGTCTTTCTCAAGTCCTGTTCTTCAGCATGAATAGGGATAGAGGATTCAGATAGTGAGAGTATTCCAGATTTGGATTTTATCAAGGTTGGAGTGTTGATAGGACCGGGAGAGAAAGGATTTGAGAGCAAAGTTGAACTGGTTCATTTAGAGTTGGGTGTATGTGATAGACACCATGCTAGGGACTGGATGAGGTGAAACATCCAAGTTTTAATTTTTATTTCCTCTAAGTATAACTGATTTAATCATTTTTCCTCAAAGATTAAATCTATATATACACACCAAGGTACATGTTTTTGTATACACATACATATTCTTTTGAATATTGTGTTTTCATATCCTTCAGCAAGTCATTTATAAGAAATGGCTTTGTGTCAGTTTCCTATCAAATTTGCATATTTGACTTCTGTGATAGCTATTTGATGAAATTTTTTACCTTCGGTGGTTTGATTTTATTTGTATAAAAATCTATTTTTTGTAATTGAGATAATCTTTTATTGTTTCTAATATATGTGTTTATTCACTACCCCCCCTTTGATCCATAGCTGAAAAAAAGATGTAACCTTTCATTCCTCTAATTTTTGTGGTGACTTTTTATATTTATATTGTATTAGTTCATATGGAATTTATTGTGGTATATGACACACTTTTGGCTTAATTGTATCTAACACTCAGGGCAGATACCCAAAAAACATATCTCTCTTGAAAATAAAGTCGAAGCAATGTAAAAAAAAAAAAAAGATTCAGGTGGATTAGAGCAAGAGAACAGGCATTAGAGTTTATAGTGGGGTTTGCTCTTTGGCCATTTAAATATTTAATATCATAGTAATTGGAAAGAGTAAGAGGGGATGGGAATTTACTAACCATTGGGGAATGAGCCCACACTGAGTGACAGTGGATAGAGGAGATCAGCTTATAAAGACAGATGGGTAGAATGTGATGCTCTCATGTTATTTTGGCACTAAGTGGATGGATCGTACTTTATAGAACCAGTGGTGATGATCTTGACATGTTGAATTAAATGATCTTTGTGTGTTTTGAATACTCATTGATACTGAAATAATGAAGTCAGGATGTATGCTTACTCAAATAATGGTGAGTTCCAGTTTCTCAAATTTATTTGCTTTTTTAATGGTTTTTTTGTGTATTTAAATATTTTTTTTTTCATTAGAGCTTGTGATTTCATTGGTGTAGGGAACTTAGGTAGAAACCTCTGTCACCAGTGTAGATAGTCTTCCTACTGCATAACTTATAGTCTTAGAGAGTTGCCTGGGCCACTAAGGTTAAGTGGATTTGCTCAGGTTCAGATGGCCTGCCAGTAATGAGGTGGGATGGTGTCATGTCTTTTTGATTGATTCTAGTTCAACTCTCTATCCATATGTTATCAGTTATGTTTATAATTTTATCTAAATGATTGGAAGAATTTGGTAGATTCTGTAGTTTCCCTAAAAAGAAATAATTTCATTCCGTGATTTCATTATTGTGGATACTTCTTCCACTGATGTTGATTATAATTCATCACCAGATAGTTCCTGGTGATAAGCCTCTTCAGATTTCCATAAGGCTGGTCTTTGGTTGAAAGACAAATGTTAGTAGGTATGGGAAGCCTTTCTAGCTTGGTAGGACCTGCTGGAGAAAGGTTGTCCTCTGCTGGCACAGCTTTCAAGAATTGCCTCCATGCAACGATTAGGAACATAGAATTTTAGCTGAGTGTTATAAAGTACTGATACATTAATTTTTTTTCCCATGGCTTTTTGCTACCCTTGATACTAGTCTTCATTTTTACCCAAGTTTTGTTGACTGAAAAAAAAATTCCTATTAGTTTGGCTTATGTGGTATTCAACTCCTAAGTGGGAATATGCAGTTCTAAGCTCTTTGCAGCAACAACATAAGTATTGTAGGGACGGAAAGCTTTCGCCCATCATTTATTCCTTTTTTTGTGTGAGGCAAATATAGGAACCATGATCTTTCTCTTCTCCTCATGACAGACTTATCCGATGGTGCATGTTTTAAAGTTACTTCGAATGTTCTGCTTT